ATCTGTCAGCATGAGAAATCCATCATCTATCCATCATCCAACCATCATCCATCCATCATCCAATCTTCCATCCATCCATCATCCAACCTTCCATCCAACCATCATCCAACCTTCCATCCATCCATCATCCAACCATCATCCAACCATAATCCATCCATCATCGAACCTTCCATCCATCCATCATCCAACTATCATCCAACCATCATCCATCCATCATCCATCCATCATCCAATCTTCCATCCATCCATCATCAATCCATCGTCCAACCATCATCCAACTATCATCCAACCATCATCCAACCATCATCTATCCGTCATCCAACGATCATCCAACTATCATCCATCCATCATCCAACCGTCATCCATCAGTCATCCAACCGTCATCCATCAGTCATCCATCCGTCTTCCATCAGTCATCCATCCGTGATCCAATCTTCATTTTCAGTAGATCAGGATGGTTCTCTTCAGAGGGAACCTACCTTTGGATCTCTGGAATGTTCTGGACACAGAACCTGCAGTCTCTTACAGTAGGTCTTACTCTGAGGGTTGTAGACGTCACAGAAAAGCCGTGTTGCCCTGTGACCGAGGGACAGCAGAGACATCGGACATGTGAGAGACGCAGACAGGAGATGCGAGGGAGACAAGAGGACGGAGGTCTTACCCCTCAATGCGAGTCGGATACATGGAACCAAAGGAAGTCTGGCTCTCGTACTGTTAGACACACAGAGACAGAGGGTGAGACAGAAGTTTCAGGAGGATCATCTCCAACATCATGGAAGGAGCAGAGGAACTGTTCTGGTTCTCCTCAGCTTCACAGAAGATGTGATAACATCTCTGATTGAGCTCATGTAACTGATTTCTACTCTTATTGGACCAACAGCATTGGAAGAAAACGAGTCATAGTTTCAAAAGTTTACTAAAAAGATCTGAAACATCAGCCGGTATTCTGGACCCGTCTCCCAGCTGAGAACATCTACAGTCTGCAGGTTCCCTCAGACTGTAACTCTCCATCATATTTCTGGCTGGATGTTGTGGGAGGTTCTCCAGCAGGAAGGCGGACCTTCATCTTAGACTCGGGTTCTCATCAGCGTCCAACAGGTTTTCCTTCAGAACGGTTTAGGGTTTAGCTCCACCCATCTCCCAACTTGAACAGCTTCCCTGTCCCAAAGAATGATACTGGCACCGCAATGCTTCCCTGAAGGTACACTGTGCTCAGGCTGAGGATCTGTTTTTTATTCTCTACAGTGTTTCTTTACAGGCCAAATATTTTGACTTCTTCTCTCCTTTGAGGTCCATGTTACAGGTGCCTGTAAAGTCCCCTGGAGGACAAACAGCAGGACACACAGCATGGATGACTGTGGACACATCCTCCCAACCAAGTCATCAAGGTTCTCCTGGCTGCTTTGTTAACAGGTGGTTCGTCCTCCCTTGCCGTTCAGATGACGGACTGGCAGAACTCTGGGAGGCATCCTTCTTTGACATCCATGTGGCCTTCAATGCTACGAGGCTGGAACCAGACTGAATGTGGGAAAATCCAGGAAGGTGGAGAAACCTGAGTCCTGAGCTCACCTTAGCATAGCACCTCTCCATGTGTCGCAGCGCCACCTTGGGGTTTACGGGGTGGCTGCAGGACACGCAGAAAATCTGCAGGTCTGTGTCATCGCCATCTCCTTCTGCAACCTGCAGACATGTAGAGATGGTCAGATACGTCTAGAGACGGTCAGAGATGGTAAGAGATGGTAGGAGATGGTCAGATATGGCTAGAGACGGTCAGAGATGGTCAGAGATGGTAAGAGATGGTCAGATACGGCTAAAAACGGTCAGAGATGGTAGGAGATAGTCAGATATGGCTAGAGACGGTCAGAGATGGTAAGAGATGGTAGGAGATAGTCAGATATGGCTAGAGACAGTCAGAGCTGGTCAGAGATGGTAAGAGATGGTAGGAGATGGTAGGAGATGGTCAGATATGGCTAGAGACGGTCAGAGATGGTAAGAGATGGTCAGATACGGCTAGAGACGGTCAGAGATGGTCAGATACGGCTAGAGATGGTCAGAGACTGTCAGAGATGGTAAGAGATGGTCAGATACGGCTAGAGACAGTCAGAGATGGTCAGATACGGCTAGAGACAGTCAGAGATGGTCAGATACGGCTAGAGACGGTCAGAGATGGTCAGATACGGCTAGAGATGGTCAGAGACTGTCAGAGATGGTAAGAGATGGTCATATACGGCTAGAGATGGTCAGAGACGGTCAGAGATGGTAAGAGATGGTCAGATATGGCTAGAGACGGTCAGAGGTGGTAAGAGATGGTCAGATATGGCTAGAGACGGTCAGAGATGGTCAGAGACATTTAGAGATAGTCAGATAGGGTTACAGACGGTCAGAGCTGGTCAGAAAAGGTTAGGGATGGTCAGAGACAGTCAGAGAGGGTTAGTGACATTTAGAGATGGTCAGAGGCGGTTAAAGATGGTTAGAGACGGTTAGCGGCGGTCAGAGATTGTCAGAGATGGGCAGAGAACTCTAAGTCTCTTACCTCCTCGTCTTGCTGAACCTGCTGCTGCTTGGCGTTGGCAATGATGGCTTCCAGTTCATGAAAGCGTTTCTCCATTAGCGTGAGGCGGAGCCTGGCGGCCTGCTGCTCCCTCCTGATTCGCTCCAGCTGTCTCCGCCCCATCTCTTCGGCCACGCAGGGACTCTGTTGCCACTGCTGGATCCTCTGAGGCAGGATTTCGTAGATCCGGCTGTGGGACACAGACAGATTTAGATGCAGCTCTGACCGCTGGTGGCACCGTCCCGTCTTCACGCTTACTTAGCAGCCAGCTTCATGCCACAGTCCTCAGAGCAGTACTTGGAACCGGTCCTGGCCGGTTCCACACAGCCTGGACCCAAACATTGCCTCATAGCACCGCCTGCCTCTTTGGCCGCGCCTTCCCCGGCTCGCTCGCTATGCCGCACGCGCTCCCTGTGGCGCTGCTTCACTTTGTGACGCCGTGGTTTGGCCTCCTCTTTGGGAACGGAAACAGACTTCTGCAGGAGCACAGCCGAGTTAGTGACATCATCAATGACATCAGCTACTCCTCCGTCTACCAGGATGCACCTTTTTCTCTGGCTTCTTGTCCCGCCTCTTCACATGTTTCACCTTTACCGCCTTCTTCCTCAGTGAGTCCGACTGGGCGTCTTCCTCCTCCTCCTCCTCAGTGTGCCACACCTGCAAAAAGGATGAAGCATCACAGGACAGGAAGTTGCTCCTTTACCTTTGGCTAATTGGGAAAATGCTGCCGGACTTTTGATCCCTGACGTCTGATTGGTCAGGCAGCGTATCCTTTACATCTGATTGGTTAGAATGTGTCCCTTACCAGGTCTCTGTATCCTGCTGCTTTGTACTGCTCGTACAGTTCCAGCTCGCTTTCACTAAACCCTTCCTCCTCCTCCTCTTCATCATCGTCCTCTGAGAGGCGCCCCGCCCCCTTCATGGACAGGCTCCGCCCCCTGCTGCCACTCCGGCTCATCTCTTCATCTCGGACACGGAGCATTTTCTGCTCAAAGACAAATATCAGCCTCTTCAGTAGGAAAATAGAGCTGCATCCAGCACTATCACAAATTCTGAATCAATGGGCTGTGATTGGCTGATAAGACAAGCTCTACCTAAGGATTGGTTAAAGAGAAGTTTGAGGGTCAGTTCTGGAGAGTTTTTACCCTTCATTTAAGAAATGCATTCCAGCAAACAGAGACTGATGATCAGGAGGAAAAGGCAGCAACCCGGAGGACCTCTGGAGTTTTTTCTGCTCTATGTCAACCAGGATGCTGCTGACGTACCCGGGCTCGGACCTCGCACTGGCGAAGGCGACATTTTTGCCGGATCTTGTTTGGACCTCCAAACTTCTTCATGTCTTTGCAGAAATCACACTGAGCGCAGTCCTCCGTTCTCAGACAGGCGTCACATTCTCCGCACATCCGGGCCGAGCGCTTGATCTACGGCGAAAACGGTTTCAGTCACGAGAGCAACGGTACAGAGAAAGAACGTCATCGGGTAACCCAAGTTATCACCTGCGAACCCCGCCTCCTGTCGATTTTGGGCTGGGGGGTGGAGCCTCTCTCTCCATCGGGTCGTTCGTCTCTCTCAGGGTCCGCCTCTTTGTTCTTCTTCTGCCGGTATTTGATCTCCAGAGAAGAGTCTTTGTCTGCAGACAACACTCAGCTGTAACAACAGATCCGGCCAGCAGGGGGCGATGGTGCTGGACACTGACCTCTGCAGGACGGACAGAACCAAACTCTGATGGCTTTGGCCGCCCTCTCGGAAATGCCAACACATTGACCGTGGAACCACTCGGTGCAACTGTCGCAGCCTCTGGAGCGCAAACACAGAACTTTACATCGACTGACATTCATCTAGTTAAAGGAAAAGTCAACAAACCCCCCCAGACCTAATCTGAGGGGAGGGGTGTCTGCAGTTCAATGCAGTGAGGAATGATCTGATCTTTATATTGGAGAAACTAAACAACCTCTCCACAGACGCATGGCCCAACACAGAAGAGCGCCCTCCTCTGGACAAGACTCTGCGCTACATCTACACCTGATGAGCAAAGTCTGTATGTTATGTATCGTTATGAACAACTAGGACTGAAACTGAAATCATTGCAATGTAAATTGTAGTTGACAATAAAGTTGATTGACAGATTGATTATAAAAACCTCCCAAGTGAAGCGCGCCCCCCCATTCTAATGAGTCTAGCCCAGTGGTCTGCAACCTTTCATAACCACAGAGCCATTTCTCCCAGGGTCAGACCAAGTAAAAGTTGTTTGGAGACACAAAGTATGACTTTTTCAAAAAAAACAACCTATTTGGGTTTTTTTTGTTATTATCTGGTATAGGAAATTAGTCATCTTAAACAACTAACAGTGTTTGTATTTTTAGCTTTTAAAATAGTATTAAAACCAGAGATGGGAAGTAACGAAGTACAAATACTTCGTTACTGTACTCAAGTAGATTTTTCTGATATTTTTACTTTACTTTACTACNTGCTGCTGCTTGGCGTTGGCAATGATGGCTTCCAGTTCATGAAAGCGTTTCTCCATTAGCGTGAGGCGGAGCCTGGCGGCCTGCTGCTCCCTCCTGATTCGCTCCAGCTGTCTCCGCCCCATCTCTTCGGCCACGCAGGGACTCTGTTGCCACTGCTGGATCCTCTGAGGCAGGATTTCGTAGATCCGGCTGTGGGACACAGACAGATTTAGATGCAGCTCTGACCGCTGGTGGCACCGTCCCGTCTTCACGCTTACTTAGCAGCCAGCTTCATGCCACAGTCCTCAGAGCAGTACTTGGAACCGGTCCTGGCCGGTTCCACACAGCCTGGACCCAAACATTGCCTCATAGCACCGCCTGCCTCTTTGGCCGCGCCTTCCCCGGCTCGCTCGCTATGCCGCACGCGCTCCCTGTGGCGCTGCTTCACTTTGTGACGCCGTGGTTTGGCCTCCTCTTTGGGAACGGAAACAGACTTCTGCAGGAGCACAGCCGAGTTAGTGACATCATCAATGACATCAGCTACTCCTCCGTCTACCAGGATGCACCTTTTTCTCTGGCTTCTTGTCCCGCCTCTTCACATGTTTCACCTTTACCGCCTTCTTCCTCAGTGAGTCCGACTGGGCGTCTTCCTCCTCCTCCTCCTCAGTGTGCCACACCTGCAAAAAGGATGAAGCATCACAGGACAGGAAGTTGCTCCTTTACCTTTGGCTAATTGGGAAAATGCTGCCGGACTTTTGATCCCTGACGTCTGATTGGTCAGGCAGCGTATCCTTTACATCTGATTGGTTAGAATGTGTCCCTTACCAGGTCTCTGTATCCTGCTGCTTTGTACTGCTCGTACAGTTCCAGCTCGCTTTCACTAAACCCTTCCTCCTCCTCCTCTTCATCATCGTCCTCTGAGAGGCGCCCCGCCCCCTTCATGGACAGGCTCCGCCCCCTGCTGCCACTCCGGCTCATCTCTTCATCTCGGACACGGAGCATTTTCTGCTCAAAGACAAATATCAGCCTCTTCAGTAGGAAAATAGAGCTGCATCCAGCACTATCACAAATTCTGAATCAATGGGCTGTGATTGGCTGATAAGACAAGCTCTACCTAAGGATTGGTTAAAGAGAAGTTTGAGGGTCAGTTCTGGAGAGTTTTTACCCTTCATTTAAGAAATGCATTCCAGCAAACAGAGACTGATGATCAGGAGGAAAAGGCAGCAACCCGGAGGACCTCTGGAGTTTTTTCTGCTCTATGTCAACCAGGATGCTGCTGACGTACCCGGGCTCGGACCTCGCACTGGCGAAGGCGACATTTTTGCCGGATCTTGTTTGGACCTCCAAACTTCTTCATGTCTTTGCAGAAATCACACTGAGCGCAGTCCTCCGTTCTCAGACAGGCGTCACATTCTCCGCACATCCGGGCCGAGCGCTTGATCTACGGCGAAAACGGTTTCAGTCACGAGAGCAACGGTACAGAGAAAGAACGTCATCGGGTAACCCAAGTTATCACCTGCGAACCCCGCCTCCTGTCGATTTTGGGCTGGGGGGTGGAGCCTCTCTCTCCATCGGGTCGTTCGTCTCTCTCAGGGTCCGCCTCTTTGTTCTTCTTCTGCCGGTATTTGATCTCCAGAGAAGAGTCTTTGTCTGCAGACAACACTCAGCTGTAACAACAGATCCGGCCAGCAGGGGGCGATGGTGCTGGACACTGACCTCTGCAGGACGGACAGAACCAAACTCTGATGGCTTTGGCCGCCCTCTCGGAAATGCCAACACATTGACCGTGGAACCACTCGGTGCAACTGTCGCAGCCTCTGGAGCGCAAACACAGAACTTTACATCGACTGACATTCATCTAGTTAAAGGAAAAGTCAACAAACCCCCCCAGACCTAATCTGAGGGGAGGGGTGTCTGCAGTTCAATGCAGTGAGGAATGATCTGATCTTTATATTGGAGAAACTAAACAACCTCTCCACAGACGCATGGCCCAACACAGAAGAGCGCCCTCCTCTGGACAAGACTCTGCGCTACATCTACACCTGATGAGCAAAGTCTGTATGTTATGTATCGTTATGAACAACTAGGACTGAAACTGAAATCATTGCAATGTAAATTGTAGTTGACAATAAAGTTGATTGACAGATTGATTATAAAAACCTCCCAAGTGAAGCGCGCCCCCCCATTCTAATGAGTCTAGCCCAGTGGTCTGCAACCTTTCATAACCACAGAGCCATTTCTCCCAGGGTCAGACCAAGTAAAAGTTGTTTGGAGACACAAAGTATGACTTTTTCAAAAAAAAAACCTATTTGTTTTTTTTTTTTGTTATTATCTGGTATAGGAAATTAGTCGTCATCTTAAACAACTAACAGTGTTTGTATTTTTAGCTTTTAAAGTAGTATTAAAACACATAAATTCCAAGCTAATTAAAAGAAAAAATGTCTCTAAAACATATTTCCGGTTCTTTTAATTTCATTCTTTATCCATCGTATAAAAACAATTAAAGCTTTTAAGGCTGGTATTTATTTCATAGCATTATTTAGCTCTTTATATATATTTTAGCCTTTATTAAGAGCCGCTGCAGAGGGTCCAAAGAGCCACATGTGGCTCCGGAGCCGTAGGTTGCAGACCCCTGGTTTAGCCACATCATGTTGGTTGATTATATGTCACATCCTGTCCTTCCTGTCATGATCTGGAACACAGACAGAGCTGTGACTTCACCAGGCTGCTGATCATGTTATAATAAGACGGGACAGATGGACACGGGGTTCGAGGTGAGACATCAGGCGGATCATCTGGAAGAGACCCTTAAAGTTGCTTAAAGTTATTTTGTTACTAAAATATTCTCAGAAAAAGTTCCAGATGTTAAACCTGCGATATGTGGCTGATGACCAGTTGAAGCTGTAGGAAAATATAAGGTTAGAAATATGCTCTGCTGGACCGAGACCTGCTGCTGGTCCAGAGTAGAAGGTTCTGGTAACTCAGGACCAACCCACCCTTAATCCAGACCCATTTGGACCCAGAACCCTCAGATTATCGGTTCAGTTTCTCACATCATGAAGCAGTTGATGTCTGGTTTCCTACACACGCAGTAAACTGGCGCGCTGGGGGTTTCCATGGTAACCTCTCCTCCTCCTCCTCCTCCTCCTCCTCCTCCCTCCTCTGGACCCGGTTCGGTCCCTGCAGCCTCATCAGCCTGAAACAAAAGGGAAACTTTCACTTTAAGCCTGAATGGTTCCGGAACCCACAGATCTAAACGGTTCTGAATGACCCGGACCACAAGCAGAGATCCGGATCGTTCACTGATCCGGATCTGATTCTTCCATGGTTCTGGAGTCCCCCCCTCCCCCCTTCAGACCCAGAACCTTTCTGTCTCCAGACCAGGACCCAGAACAAAGCGACCTGTGCGCGCGCGCTCTCCATTTCCCTGGAATCCGCTCCTGCTGCAGAGGTTCTGTTCGGTTCGGTTCGGTTGGAACCCTGCGGGTCCAGCTGTAGACTCACCATGGGAAGGTTCGGCTGCTCCGGTCCAGACGCAGCTTGGTTTGCTCTCCAGCTTCAGAACCAGAACCTTCAGGGTTCCCTTTGTTTCCACCGCATCTTCATCCTCCTCTTCCTCTGCAGCGGACCGAGCTCTCCCTGTCCGGCCCGACGCGCCCCCTGCTGGCCGGAGAGGAGCAGGACGCCACCACTGATTTACTATCGCAGATCAATTAACCCTTTATAGGGAAAGTTAC